TTTCTTTGCACGGTTTTTACTCAAATTAAGGAGTGACCAAAACTGGCGACTGCTAGTCGAAATATTTCCATAAAAATAAATCATTCATTGGAATTACAATTTTTTTTTCTTTTAATAATAGTAACATTTTGTCTAGAAAAATAGTAATGGGTGAATGTATAGAGAATTGGTTTCATCCCTTTCCTAAGGGTATGAAACAAAATCACTGATATTGATAAAAAATAATAACAATTTAGTCTTTCATCACTCTGCATATATCAAAGGAAAGAATAAAAAACAACAAAAACAAAACTCACATGGACACATAAAAGCTGCCCTGTGTGTGTTTATTAGCAAAAGGCATTGCAACAACATCAAACCAATCAGTGAAATGGAAACCTAAATAGTCAACCAACTGATTCCAACTTCAGTCTCCAAGAAGGGTTGCCAAGCAGCTGATAACAGCTTTTAGCTTGTTAACTCACACCCATTTCGACCTCAGTCACCCACTACTGCACCCAAACACATGAATACATCAACCAACTGTGGAAGTTGTCTTGTTAATACCAAAATAGAAACAGCAGTCATCAAATTATAATAGAGTGAATGAGACAAGAGATTTGCTTGCTTTTAGTGTAACTAAGTCACTAATGATCAGATAAACTACCTTGACAAGAAACTGAGTCTTGAACCAAGGATTGTAATGAGCAAGACAAAGTTTTTAAATTTCTCTACCAAAATTTGAATACATAGAAAAAAAAAGATGGTATTACTGATGTTAAAATCTGAAAAATGCCACAAAAATTACTGCAAACAGATTTTTTTTTACTTCATCCCATTTCATTTTTTTTTTTTTTTGCTTATATATAAATTCACGGATACAGTTTTTTCCCTATCGGTTTTCCAAAGTCAGCCCTACCTCATCTACACCCTGTTCATATATTTCTTCTATGGAAACACCGGGAAAAAGAAAAGAAAAGAAAAAAAAACAAAAAAAAAAAACTAGAAACCAAAGTGGTACTAGCCAAGAATTATTCCTTAAGGAATGGATGTTAAAGAAAAAGCTCCCAGAAGTCAAAACAAGAACATTTTCATCTGATTCTATCAGCTTAGGGGTATGAAATATATCTATGAATTTTTTTTAGCCTGACCACCTAAGAAAAGAAGCCCTTCCTTACAAAATTTCTGACATCATTTGCTCAGATTTTAATAATTGAATCAGATTTAGAACCTTTCAGCACCCCCTTCATATGCATTAGACAGTAGCAAGGAAAGTCTATAAAATCTAGCTGTTCTTTCATAGAGTTATTGGTCGTACATGTTCTCAAATTTCCTCCTGGCACCAGAGACTGTTTCAAGTCCAGGTCAAAGTTATAATTTCTGATACTGATTTTCTTGGCAGTCATCCTTGCTTGAAAATGTGGCATCCCAGAATATTCCTACTCCTCTAGATAGGTGACTGCTTGGGAATATCAGGTGTTGTAAGTTTGGATATGTGGTTGATGTAATGGATCAGAATTGTTAATTGGAGAACTAAGTTCCAATTCCCATTGTGTTCGTTATACACACTTATGTGCAAATACCCCTGGAAAAGGTATAAATCCACCTCTCCTTCCTATGGGTTAATTAATAAAACTAAAACCATTATTATCTACCCCCCCCCCCAAAAAAAAATTCTTACAATCTAACAATATTTTCTACAACAGGTTGAGAAGTGGTAAGAAATGAATCAATCCTATTTGATTTTATTTTTGAAAGACTTGAATTATAGTGCTTAAAACTTTTAATGAATTGATGAAATAGACAAGTGATATTAATGTTATTTTTTTTGAAAAACAGTGTTATACTCTGATCTGGTTGGATTAACATCATCTTGGCCATTATAATAAAAAATTTAACCATTTTCTTTCCAACAGCATTATAGAACCTTAAATAAACAGACTCCTTCAAAATATAAAATAAATAGACTAGATTTCTTAGTCTTTGCAGAAAGAAAACGGGTACTTAACAAATTTATGCTGCTTGAATTTATGATCAATATAAAGAGAAAAGCCTACAGAGCACTTTCTTTTGATTCTGTGTATCACTGCAAAAGGTACAACAACAATAGTGAAAAGTATAATGTGAAAACAAATTGTACATTGCTGAAGGACATTTTGTTATTATTTTTGTGTCAGGTAATTAAAAGACCTCATGTAAAGTATAATTAATTTTGATGATTCATGAAAAAAATGTGTCATTCTTACAGCATTAAAAAATTTCTCATTTATAGTCTCAACTTTCCTTGCAATTGTCTAATGCACATGAAAGTGTACTGAAAAATGTTTAGTCTGATTCTTATTTTTTTTTTAATCATTTCACCCCAAAAAAGGGAGTAAAGACACTAAGATGCGAGGAGTTACTGAGTGACAGAGAATATGAGAATAAAAAGAAAAACACAACCACTGTCAAGGAGAGTGAAAAATAAAAGAACAAGAATTAAGAAGACAAGATAACGATTGACATGACATTTAAATTTTTGAAGATCAAAGTTGACTGGAAAGCAAGAAGCCAGAAGAGAGTTCCACAAGTGAGAAGTGTGATAGAAGAAACTGTTAGCATAGAACTTACATTTACATTTAGCCATTTCAACTGTAAAATGATGAGACCTTGCCACCAATCTAGAATTGTGCTTAAATTTGTGAAGTCTAGATATCATAGAGGAAAGTTCATCAGAAAAATTATCATGAAAATATTTATAACAAAGGCAGAGGAAAGTTACGTTATGGCATTGGGAAAGTGACTGAAGCCGAGATGCCAGGTCAAGACCAATAACATTGCAGATTCATCTTTGGATTTTAACCAAGAATCTTTAAATATATAGCAAGAGCACCAGACCAGATGTGGCAGCAGCAAAGAATGGATAAATGGTAGACTTATAAATATGTAAGATAGATTCTGGCAAGAAAAACTGTCTAGCATTTCACAGGGAACCAACTTTTCTAGCTGCAGCCCTAGCAATTGATTCAATATAATCTTACCACTTCATGTCAATTAAGTTAAATTCGTTAAATCTGAGGAAATGTCAAAAATTTTGTGGAGAATGGTTTCTTAGTTGGTCAGGCTGTGAACTGGTGTGGGATAGGCAGAAATTCATAGATATAGTGGCAACATATGTGACCCTTGTCCAGTCTGTCCAACAACCAGCCAATGATTATCTTATGTGCCATATCAATCCTTAATCCTGTTGACGTACACCAAAAGCTGGGGAAGAGTGTACTGCATGCTTACAAGGTAAACAATGAAAGACAAATGCCATGTTGAGAAATAAGAACGCAAACCCATATTACATGTAGGTATTTTATTCAAGGTGACACTTGATCATCCAGTTGGGTAGGTGGGTGATACTTGAGACAACTTCTGCTATGCCAGCTCTTCTCTCTACAAACTCCTCATTCTGATGTGATGGCTGGCAATATGAAATGGAGGCCTCGGAACCATGCAGTGGACACATCTATCTCCTGCCAAGAGTGGACCAGAACTATCCCCAATCCCATCTTGGGTATGATGATAAACTACATCTGACAGCAAGGCCTTTGATCAGGAGATGTTGAAGAGCGTGGAACCACCTCTTAATTGCTGGTGTTCCCGGGTCCACCCTGACCCAGGGTGGTAGCACCTGTTAGGGTCCCAGCTATGGGCAAATAGTTAACCTATCAAAAGGGGTCAAAACACTATGAAAGTATAAAAATAGGTTTTCATACTAGCAATACTTTTTTGGAGAAATTATTATCAGCAGTACATTTTTGTTTAAATTATTGCCAGCATTACATTTTTGGAAAAATATTACCAACATTACATTTTTGGAAAAATATTACCAACAATACATTTTTCAAAAGAAATATTACCAGCAATAAAAATCTTGTCAGCATTAAATAACCCACTGAGGTTGATATGCCATAAGACAAAACAAACCAAACCAATCCCAAGCATGACTATTAATATAGACAAGCACCTGAATATACCTTATTTCCAGTTTTTTGCCACTTGATCACTGAAAATCTCATATCCACCCATTTACTTCTGCATACCCCTTCGACCAAAGTGGATGCCACTTAAAAGACTGAAATTCAAAAGGGACTCTTTGCTGGTCTATCCAACAGAAACATAAGATTGAGATAAAACCATCGCTTCCCTTTCTGTGTGGATGTCCATAGTATCACAATATTTCAATTTATCAGGAATTACATTTGTAGCCCAGAGCTGATAGAATCAGGTGAAAATATTCCTGTTTTGATTCCTGGGAAAATTTTCGCTTAACATGCATTCCGTAATACAGGATGAGAATAATTGACAATATACTGTCCTGTAGAATTTTTCGAGTTTGGACTTGAATTCTTGTTAATCTTATTGAGTTTGTTTTTCTGTAATGTAAACCACTGTTGTCAGGACACCAGATGTAACACAGATTAGCATTAGATTTTTTCTTTTTTACAATTATTGTTTACCGTGTACAATGTCCAAGACCAACTTGAAGTAAAGGGCTACAGAGTAAGAGGCATAATTTATGGGGATGTGTGGGGAAAAATAACAGTTGACCCTAAACTTGAACAGGTTATTGTACTAATTGGGGAAACCTTCTCTTGGGAGTCAGTTCCACAAAGTGGCAGTTCATGCAAAGAAGCTATTTAGGTGGAATTTACATCTCACCAATGGAATACAAAGGGAATGAGGGTTGTTCGTTATAATGTGTGTGGTATGGTGGGGTTTTGCTGTGAAGGTTAGAATTGGTGGAACTAAAGAATGTAGTTCATCAGATATATGTAACACAGATCACAGACATTACTAGATTACTAAATATAGATAACACAGACTACTAATTACGACTGTACTAGCTGTAGACTAGTAATTGTCTTCTAGTCCAGCAATAGTTGCATATTCCAACTTCAAACCGGGTCTAACTATCAGCTGTTTGATTGATCCTTGTACACTGTTATCGTTTTGAGGCTAATTTGCAAAACAAAATCTATAAAGCTATTTACCTTGGACTTTGAATCCAGCTGACCTGGCCCTCCTTTGTGAAAAACAAATTGTTCATCAGCATCTTCATCTGAATCTAGATAAAAAAAAAAAGATAGAAAAAAAAGAATAATAATAAAAATTGAAGTGAAGTAAAAAATAAAGTTAAAGGGAACATTTTAGAGCAAAATTTAAGGAGTCATTTTTGAGGGGCCTGATCCTGGAATATATGTGTTATGATGTTGATTTGGGGTTAGTAGAGACAAACGCCAAATAACACGTAACAATAAAAAGGGTTTTAGTAGGTTGGTAAAAAGGTACAGAAATCACCTGAGTAGTCAATAACTAGCTCAGCTAAGAACTTCTCTGTCTATCTGTCTCTCCCCATGTCAACTGACATGTCACTATTTAAAGTCTTTGTTCGCAGACAAGTTCACCTTCCAGAGAGGTGGTAGGTTTCCGACACAACAATATGAATAAAAAAACAAGAGGAAAAACTATTCTTAGTTGCCATGGTTTTGTCCTCTGAGGGACTTTATCATCTGAATAAAGACAAAAGGGAAACTTATCTTAGCCAACTGTTTCATCCTCTGATCAACTTTATCAAGTTAAATCTAATGATTCTATTTTGCAACAAGTATTTTTAAACAGAAGTAAAAATGTTGATAGTCTTTCAAAATCTTTTCATTTAAGGAGGCTCATAGATATACTTTAGGTTAATTGAAAGTGAAGGCAAACTATGGAGGATGTTGTGTCTAATAAACAAAAGTGAGAAAATGTTGTTAATGAATTTTTTTTATAATTTTTATATATTATTTATTTTAGTTTAGCTTGAGAAATTAATTTATATATTTGTCTATTTTAAATAATAGAAGGTTTTGAATTTAACAGTTTTCTTTTAATTTAAAAAAAAAATTATAGTCATGTATGTTGGTTTGGAAAAAGTGTATTCCTTTCAGGAAAGGAGATAATAGAAAAATCCTGGGTACAAATTTATATTTTGATAAAATTCGATAGTGGCACTCTCAAGAATTTTCCTTCTAAGTAAATTACTTTCTCTTTTAATAAGTGTGGCATTCTTCAGATTGAAGTTGTAGTTGAATTTATTTCTATGGATGACTAATTGCATTTGATAAATTATGAATAAGATCCTTTTTGTGTTGATAGATACATTTTTTTCTGTAAGTTTCACCAGTATACAGTAGGAACAGTTGTGACAGATATGCATCAGAATTATTATGGATATTTTTGGTTCTGATCATATCCATAATGGTTTTGGATGTGATTGTAATTATTTTGATATTGTTAAAATTGGAGAAATTGTTTTTGGATAGTAGATGTTATCAAGTGGTGCAGAAAATGTCTCTGGATTTAGTTTATAGTGGAAGGATTTCAAGAGATGTTGAAAAAAATAAAGCAAAAAAAAAAAAAGAAAGAAGCCCAGTGACACATTGGAAATCTTGGATAATGTTATGGAGTGGTTTCACAGTGGAAGCTTGTATTTGTACTAAGTCGGTCCAAAAATAGGTTCGCCGTACAAAACGTTAGGAACTTGATATAATAGGTAATGACGCAGAGTAATCTAGTTGCGGTTGCTGATACTTTAGTATCCGACTAACGGTCATCCGGCATTGACTGACTGACCCACTGAGCGACTCCCTCGTTACTCTTACTACTCCTACTTATCATAGGTGGGAGAGACTATTAACTACAGAATAGGTGTGTACCACTATAACAGATAATATGACAGATGAACAGATCAATCAAGCTGAGCTCCAATAAAAGAAATCTGATGGGGAAGCAGTGATTACAATGCCAATAATCTTCCTTCTTGAATTTGTTCCAACCTAGCCTTTGCTGTTATGAGAAGAATAAATAATAATGAAATAAAAGCTTCAGAATTTTGTTTCAAAAAATGTTTTTCAAAGTTGAATGTACAATATAACTGTATTTAACATTTTATTATCAAGGCTTCTTTTCAGTCAAATGATATTTATTTTTCATTTTTCTTCTCAATTTGTTCGGAATGATGTCTGAGCTTGTTTTTTCTCTGTTGTCTGTGATAAAAATTACTCTGTTCTTATCACCATTATTATGTTATGTAGTAGTTGTTTGACATAACTAATGAATAGGATTTATTAAAACCAATATGAAAACTTTCATTCTAAAAATCATTATTCTGGAAGAAAGCAATTTCTAGGGGCCAAGAATTTTTCTTTTTTTTTCATTTCACCCCTAGCAAGGTGATAATGCCACTTGGACATGGTGTTACAAGGAATGAAAAGATTTTAGTGAGAAATGAGGAAAGGGGCAATAAAGAAACAGAATTCAGGAATACAGAACATGGTGATTGATGTTGCATTTAAATTTTTGAAGATTGTAGGTGGCAGAGAAGCAAGAAATTAAAAGGGACTTCCATAGACGAGAAGTGCGAGAAAAGAAACTGTAAGAATAGAAGGTCCTGTTAGAATAGAAGAACATCTAGCTGGCTCAGCTGGAAAATGGTAAGATTTAGTTGACAATTTGGCAGAAAAAAAAGCTCATCAGAAAAATTATTTGTAGAAAAGACAGAGGGAAGCCACTGCATGGAAATCAGGAAGAAAGCGATTTCTAGGGATCTGGAATTAAGGAAAGATTTTCTAAAAGAAGAGAATTATTATATGTATAATAGATAAACATTTACAATAGAAATCACTTGAAAACTAGGAAGGAAGGGATTTCTAGGGATCTGGAATTAAGGCAAAAGCTACTGAGAGAAAAAAATTATATGTAAGTAACACCAAAAATTTGCTGAAAAAAAGAATACATGATGAAAAAAAAAGCACAAAATATATTAAAAAAACAAATTTACTACCAAAACCTTTATTATTAGAATGAACCAATTTTTTAAATAATTCTTAGCAGCTTTAAAATTTTCGTTAAAAATCTTCTTGTGTCAACATGAGACACTCAAATTTCCTGTACAAATTAATATTTGGACAAGAAATTTAAGTGTCTTTTTGCTGTGAAAAACACATCAATTTGGAAATTCTTGCAAAAATTGAATAATCGTTGAATTTTAATGAAGCTTTCAGGACTTATTCAGAAATTAATTAAATTATTTTTGATTTTTTTTTTTTTTTTTTTTTACATGTTACCAAAACTCATTTCTTGCCCCCACGCATTTGAAAGAAAAAGTCAGAAGCAGAGTAAAATTCAAATCTAAAAAGTACCAAGAATATTTCATTTTAACTCAAATAAACAAAACAGAAAAAAAAACAACAAAAAAAACAAAACCTCACATATAACAGTTGGTGAATATGTCATAATGACCTGACTCTTCCAATGTCACTTTCCAGTGGTTGAACTTATCACATTCATTTTTGCTTTTTGAATCACAGTTAGGTCAACCAATGATATTCATCAATAATATATTTATGTATGCACTTTGCATTTCTCCACAGTTCATGTCTGTCCAATTGCAAAAGCAGCTGAACTAATCAGCACAACCCAATTATGAGCTGAACACTTTTCTGTTAATTTTGCTTCCCATTATACAAAATACAGAGTGAGAACAATATCAGCCCCTCAAGAGAAAATAAAAAAAAGCATCAATAATGATAAGAATCAAGTGGTTAGATTAGGAAGCACTTATCATGTTGGATTGCTATGACTTATGAGGTAAATGTGGAATTGTAAATAGTTAACTGATTTTTGTATAGCATAGAAATATTGACCAACTCAATTTAAATAAAAGATTTCAGTTGCGGGTTGGACTAAATAAATACTGTGGATTTATTGATTAAAAAACAGGACATTAATTAGTTAATATATATGCTATCCTATAAGTGACATACTAGACAGGTTCTATTTTAAAAGGGCATGTTTTCAAAACACAGAATTTAAATGCATTTCATCAAATACTGAAAATAATTTAAAAGTAATTTTTTAGAAAACATTTTCCATCTGCAAATACATCTTTGATTGTTTCATTCATTTTCTACAGCTTTTCAACTATTTGAAAGTTATTTAAAGCGAGATAATATTTTAGATTGTGAAATTATTTGGTGGGGGGTAGATAATAATGGTTTTAGCTTTACTAATTAACCTATATCTGAGGGGAAAATAGGTGGATTCATACCTTTCCCAAGGGTATTTGCATGTAAGTGTATATAATGACCCCAATGGGAATTGGAACTCAATTCTTTGATTAAAAATTCTGAGCCATTATCCACTACACCACTTGCACATTCAAACTTTATTATTCCAAAGCAGTCACCCAGGTACTGACCAAGCTTGACATTGCTTAACATCAGTGATTGTACAGAAATTGGTATTTCAATGTGATGTATCCATAAAACCAGACACATCTGTGAGAAAACTGCCCAACATTTACTGCTATATAAGCAGACCGATATTATATAGCAGTTCAGTTCTCTGTTTCTAATGAAATTTTCCTGAATCTTAATACTTTATTTAGCTTCTGGAAGGCATCTTTCATTATGCCAATGTGCATTTGGATTTCTCTATCACATAGTCCATCATCTGTTATAACATTTCCCAGATAGGTAAACTGTATGATTCTGAGATCTCCAATTTATAGTTTACATCTTGGGCAGTTCCTCTTGCTAACAATCAAACATTGTGTCTTTTTACAATTGAAGGTTAGTCCTTTCTTCCTGCTTTCCTTCAGTTTTCTTTCTCTGCTTGCCATATATGAAGTGCGTTCCAGAGGTTTTGAGACTTTTTCAGTAGAGACATTTATTAATTTCAAAGAACAAAACTCTAATCTCCTTCAAAGTGGGATCCTCTGACTTCAATGCACTTGCTGCAGCACTCCAACCACTTGGAAGTCATCCAAAGTGCAGGTGCCCAAGACCCTTGTTACAACTTCCTCCATCTTCTCAATGTCTTCAAAACAACTGCTCCTGAGATTTTCCTTCTATGGAAATAACCAAAAATCACAGGGAGCAAGGTTTGGAGTACACATAAAGTGAGGGACAGTTTTGATATCCATTAACTACCTCTCTGCTGCCAGCAATGCATCTTTTCTGGGCACCTTGGGAAGAAACAGTTGGGCATATTCAGATCTTCATGAATAATTCTGTGTACAGTTGC